TAGGCATCCCTTTCGTCGTCCTCCTGTGGAACGGGCTCGGGAATCATGTCTTCCTGATCTGAAATGGTTAAATAAGGAGTGAGCTACACTAGCCCAGTAAGAACATCACGATATCTCACCGTCACGGAGGTAAAGGTGGGTAGAAAACGCAAAGGACCCATGGAGCATGTTTTACAACAAATCCTTTTATTTATGATAAAACCTTTACCATCCACTTACCTCGGTGGAATTTATGAAACAATATAAGAAAAACAATAACATTATCATAATCATGGAATAATATAAGCTGTAAAACATAACACTTATCACGCCTCTTGTAATTCAATCATTATACAACATATATTTTTCTCATTTACCAGCCTACTAGTATCCGTGGGGGTCCATAGGGGTCCCGCTACCCGTTAACCTTTAACGTTCATAATCAGTTTCCAGGGCCGTCCCCATACCCCGTCCGGTATGGGCGCCAAAACCATAAACCTCAATACCCCGTCCGATACGAGGGTGAAACGGGCCGTCCCCATACCCCGTCCGGTATGGGCGCCAAAACCATAAGATCTCCATACCCCGTCCGGCATGTGAGACCACAATCCCAGTAGGGTTCCCTACGGACCCAGTCCGTCCACCATCTCTCAGGATATCTAGTCAGGCTGACCCCATAATACAATTATCAGTCTACACAATCTTTTATTTTTCTTTTCCTCAGTCAGCATCATCAATTCACATTTAAACAAGCAAATCGTAATTCATGCCAAACAGACAACATACAGTATCAGTTTTTCAGTCATTCAACCCATAATTAATAAAAACGTAGTATATGCACACAAATCTGTAAAATGAACACATCAAACCTTATTTTGTATTTAAAGCTGTAAACAGGCCAAATAACAGTAAATCACCAATCACACTAGACTCGGGCTCCATTAGCCACCTTAAGCAATTTCACACATTCGTTAATTCAAGAAATACCGTTTTATCATTTTGAACTTTAATACCGTGATAGGAAATAGGGTGAGGGGTCCTTACCTGTTTTCGGGATTCGAATACGATTCACAGTGCGCCTACAGGCTGTTCCTAATTTTCCCTGAATTTTCCCCGGGGAACTGAAACGCACTAACGGTACCTGCACGTGTTCCAAAAAATCTCAAATTAGGCTCAGGGCCCCTTTTTGGCCAATATCGCAACTCCGGCACGGCGGCTCCGCCGTGCTCCGGCGACGGCGCCGCCGCTTGCGGTGGCGATTCGCCTCGGGTTGGCTGTTTTCGGCCGTTTTCGGCCGAATTCAGCCACACTCGCATCGGTCCCTACGAGAAAACAACCCTAGGGCCCTCGGGGGGCCAAAAAATCACGGAAAAACGGAGCTTACCTGCGGCGACGCTCTCGGGTGTGGCGGCTCTCCGGCGAGGTTCGTGTTTTGGTGATTCGGCTCTGGTCAACCTGTAGAGAAAAGAATGGTGATCACGGTGATATAAAAATTGCATCAAACGGAGGCCGGGAAGGGCCTCGTCGGAGGCAAAAATCGAGAAGGGGCGCGGCGGCGCCGCTGGTCTTTGGCCGCGTATTCCGGCCGTTTGGCCGGGATTTTGGCTCCGATTTGGCCACAAGAGGAATCAGCGTGGAAAAACGAGTCGGGGGTATGAAATTTACCTCGATCGGCGGTCGAAAATTTCCCCGGCGCGGCGGCGGGTGGCGGCGGCCGGCTTCTGGTTTGTCTTCTCCGGCGAGCGGCAGGCGGCTAGGGTTTGTGGTCTGGTGTGGGGGTTCTATTTATAACCCCTTGCCTTTTGATCTCAGCCGTTCATTTTGTTTTAATCTGGGCCGTTCGTTTTTTATTGAATATGGGCCGTTCGTGCGATTGCATCTGGGCCGTCCGATCGCGCGATTGATCTGGGCCGTCCGATCGCGCTCACGCGGATCGCCAACGTGGTCCATTCTGGAGTGACGTGGTCTTGCCACGTGGCAGGCCCCGGTTGGCCGGGATTGCTGACCGGGCCTGCTGATGTGGCTGCCGACGTGGCTTTTTTTTTTTTGGCTCCTTTTCTCCGGGCGCTACACCATACCTGACATAGTATTTAATTATACAATTCAAATGTGAAGATACATCGTGTTTTAGATTTGATATCTGATACAATCTTTAATATATTTAATATAAAGTTGAGAAAAGAAATTACGTCAGAAAATTTTTAGAAATATAAGGATTTATTTGATCAAAATTTAAGAGTTGAATTAATTTAAATAAAAAAATTACATGGACTAATTTGTTATTTTTGCCTCCAAAATTTTAAATACCTTAGCTTTGGTGGTGTATTTTTTTGTTTAATCGATTGAAGATTTGAGTTTTTTGAGATGTGTCTTTGATATAATGTACAATTTATTAAAAAAATTATCTAAAAATTTTAATTAAAA